ATGAGCCCAGAAGGTTATAAAAAAAAATGGAGACACTGACGAGTGTGGCAAGCAAAGAGAAATGTGCTGCAACAGACTAATTTACACATTCCATTTCACAGCTTGTACCCCGCCGCATGTTTAATAAGATGATAGGCTGGTTCCCCCACCCCAGATCCCCCTTGCTTAAAGGCAAAAGAGCTCTCGATACAGCACTTTTCATCTCTTTTTTTCTCCTGCCTGTCAGCCCAAAGGTTAAAAAAGACACTTTTTAATCTAATTGAAAATACATCCTCTTTTATGCAATCTGATCCCCTGGTAGGGCTCCTTGGTGGTTACTAGTCACATTGCAATTTCTCAAGTCACTTGTCCCCTGAAGAAGTCTGGACTGGTCTCAAAGGAGATCTCCATAACAGCTCCCATTTCATGGTGCACTTTCTGTGTTGCACTATGGATGTTTACTCTGCATGGTATCAGGGCTACACCTCTACCCCAATATAACGCGACCCGATATAACACGAATTCAGATATAACGCGGTAAAGCAGCGCTCCGGGGGGGGGGGGGGCTGCGCACTCCGATGGATCAAAGCAAGTTCGATATAACATGGTTTCACATATAATGTGGTAAGATTTTTTTGGCTCCCAAGGACAGCATTATATCGAGGTAGAGGTGTACTTCAGGAAAGCTCCCAGATCTTCAACTTCAAGAATTCAGAACTTCCATGAATTTTTTGCATTGGTCTTCACTGCAGACGATGTTGGGGAGATATCCACATCAGAGCTATTCTTTTGGGGCAATAAATCCAAAGTACTGTCCCAAACTGATGTGTCAGTAGAAGAGGTTTTAGAACAAATTGATAAACTAAAAAGTAATAAGTCCACAGGACCAGAAAGTATTCACCAAGAGTTCTGAAGAAGCTCAAATATTAAAATGCAGAACTAACTGCAGTATAGAACCAATCTCTTAAATCAGCCTCTGTACCGGATGACTGGAAAGTAGACAATGTAGTGCCAATTTTTAAAAAGGGCTCCAGAGTTGATCCTAGCAATTACAGGCCGGTATCAAGCAAACTGGTAAAAACTACAGTAAAGAACAGAATTATCATATCGTATTGCCATGGAATGTTGGTCTGAGTCAGCGTGGCAAGTCCTACATTCTTATATAACATCCATGGCCACTGAGTGCAACGTGTTTAGGAAGGAGAGGGAAAGAACCTCATTTAGAGAGGATATCAAGCCACTTGGTTTCCGGTGTACTTTATCTTGTCAGCAGTTACAGGGTGGAGTATTTGAAAGGAACAGTATTAGGAGCTGGAAGCAGGACATCTAGGTTATCTTCCCACACCAGCCTCCGACTCACTCTATGACCATAAGCAAGTACCTTTGCCACTGAGCACCTCATTTTCCCCATAATGACAATACCCAACTCCCAACTTTAATGAATTATGTGAGGCATAATTGTTCAGAACCAGAGGTAAAAGTAAGCCGGTACAGTCTGGTATGGCATACCAGCAGGAGCTGGTACACAGCCGACCGTACCAGCAGGGGGCAGTTTCCCCGGGTGGCAATTTAAAAGGGCCGGAGCCCCGGGCCCTTTAAATCATGATTTAAAGGATCCAGGGATTGAAAGTCCCCGCCCCTTCCAGTTGAGGCCCCACCCCTTCCAGTTGAGGCCCCGCCCCCTGCTCAGGACCCCAGCCCTGCATACGGGTAAGTCCCTTAAATTACTTTCACCCCTGTTCAGAACATGCTTTTAAGAACTTCAGAGGAGAGAAGCTCAGGCAGTGCAATGTGTTAGATTAGATTATTCTGAAAAGGAAGAGTTGCTAATTTCAAGTATTGGCCAAGACTGGCCAAGCTAAAACAAAGCTGAATATTGGTCCTGGTGTGTTTACAAAGCAGGGTATACATTTTCACTATATAATAAAAACAATCGTCTGTATTGCTTGGCTGCAAGCGACAATTCTGTAAGGGAATAGAGAACATTAGGATGCTTTTGGAGGAGGATATGAATTACACTTCAGCTACAGAACAAAGCACAGAAGGACCCTTGAGCAGTGCATGAAATTGCAGAACAACATAACAGGCATGTCTCTCAACCTCAGTTTAACTGTGAGAACTTTATGCTGCTGAGAAAAATGTCTCATTTGAATTTTCTCATAGGTAAAACATTAAACTGTTGCCATTTGTTTCTAAAACATAAATTGTTGTTCATTTTTTTAATGCTGAGAGGTGTGGATAAGAGTTGTTCCCTGAGCAATAGGGACTTGGAGAAGAAAGGTGGGTAACAACATCAAACCACTGATGAATGTTTGTATGGTTTTGAAATCTACAAATGTGTGAAAAGTTCCCTGTGAAGAATTCAGCTCTCAGGCCTTTAATCTGGTCACTTGTCACTTCAGAGTCACAGTTATGGTATTGTACTGCACTGTTACTCTACTGGTGACATAGCAATAAAAGTTTCCATGTAATTCTTGATCCATTAAACCAACAAAAAGCAGATGTGCAATTTAGTGTGACACTCACAGATGTGCATGCACCAAGGCCTGAATCCAGAACCCACTGAAGTCAATAGCTTCCATTGGATAGGGCTCCAACTCTTTCCCAGAACATGTACTCTGGGTATTGTTACACGATCAGTTACAGACCACAGATACCAATAATTACTTGAAATGATAAAATACTAAATAATCCTTATTAAAAAAATAACTACATATTTAAATGCTGGTGTCTCATTCCTTGCTTCACATAAATTCATCTACTGTATTATCATTGGTGTCACTGGAGTCCTTGAAGTTAAACAGAGATTTGAGTTACTAACATACTTTGTTCCCTGTGGGTGGCAAAAATGAACTGAGAGGCAAATCTGAAGAAGTCCCTAACTGAACATATTATAAACCAAACTACAGTTACAGAAAGGAGATGCAGTGGGAAGGGAAAGGATCTGTAATGTTTATAACTGAGAGAGAGAGAGAAGGCAAAATTTGGGTTTTTCCAAACCTCAGCCCATTGGGGAGCAACTTGAAGCAAGATTCTTCATTTTTATAAAAAGGGGATTTTAACATAGTCCTGTCTGTGGGCAAAATTCTCTTCTCCCAGCTGCACTGCCAGCCTCCAGTGAATGTTCTACCCATAATTAGCATCAATTGCTATTCCACATTCAAAATGTGCACTAGAGACCCAGCATGCAGAGGAGAATTTTGCCCCTTTACTATTATATCCACTTTAAAACTCTTTTTATGCCCTGAATTATCTCCCAAAATATAACCTTTTCGTTTGTTTGCAAACTTTTGGCAAGGAGAATGGCTCTTCTTTGTTCTCCCTCCTTTCAGAAAGGGGATTCTGTGTGATTCCCACAATGTTTTTTGATGAAAACAACCATTACAGAAAGGAGAGAACAGTGAAGGAAGAAATTCAAGATGCATGTGTTCCTTCCTCCGTCTCCTCCAAACTCTCCATGCCAAGGCCCAAATGTGACACAGACCCAAAATGGGGAACATACCAAAATTATTAATTCAGGCAATTTCAAACGCTGCAGGATTCCATCGTGTTGTAATGAGTCTTTTGATAGCACAAGTTTCCAGATTCTTTATTTCTGATGTAAAATAATTGTCCATAATAAAAGTTTCTGTCACAATAAGGGAGAAGGGTATAAGTAACTTTAACACTAAAATGAGTGATGTTCCCTTGTGAGGAGGGACATTTGAGATCAATGGCTCTGCAGGTGTGCCACATTTCTGAGAAAGCAAAGGTCAGAGCAAGACGAAGCTGAAAGGATCTCATAGTAAATGAAGTGACTTTCCCTCACATACACCCCTGTTGCCCTCATCCCAGAGATGTGAAACATTAGCCATAATATTGCAACATCAGGCATTCAAACAGCATGAGTGCAGCCCCAGAAATCATGAGATTAGTTTAAAATCATGACTTTTTCTAAAACAATAAATGTGGGGTTCTTTTTGCTTTCTGGGCTTTGAGTTTTTTTAAGGGTCCTATTTTCAATCTTTTCTTCACAACCGCAAGGAACTAGAAATTTACTGTATTTTAAATTAAAGCTGAGATTCCCACATACTCCCATGAGTCCAAGAACTAGAGCTTCATGAAAAACACTAGTCATTGCAAGACTCCCACCAGATGGCAACACAGGGCAGCAAAAGCATGGTATCAAATATCATGTCAAACTGCAAAATCATTATCTTTGAAATCTCATGATTTTTAAGCCAACCTTGTGACTATTTTGGAGTAGGCAAGGCTGCCTCGTGATTTCTTAAAGCTTGTGATTGGCAATAGTGATTTAATCTCTCTGTGGCACATGATTGCCCCGCCTAGCCATGGGAACTTCTGTGGAGAAGAATACCCCCATCAAATTGCACGTAATTAGGGTTGGAAAAATAGATTTTTATGGATAAACAATGTTTTCACCATCCACACAGAAACTGGTGAAAAATATTCCCATCAATAATAATGGAAATGTACAGAGAGGCAAAGTAAGAAAAATGCTGCTTGAGAACTTAAGGGAGTTTGATTTAAGGCCATTCCCTTTGCCTATTTTGACATGTGTGTTGACAATTTCTGTTTAAGGCTATAAAGCGTCAACTTCTTGAATCTCAGCCTGGACTGTATTGACTATTCTCTGGCCCCTGCCCCCAATTGTGGGCAACTGACAAATCTATAGGAATTGGAAAACCCCCAATTTTATGCAACTGTGAAAACTTAAATTGATATAAAAGAAGAAAATGCTTTAAACTGAACAGCAACACGAGCCCCCCCTTTACACAAAACATTGTATTCTGCCCAGCCTGCTTATTACACAGAGCTCCCACGCGCTCAGGAGGGCTGTGCCCTTCACAAAGATGGCGGTTGTGTTCGCCCCGCCCCTATTAGTGCCCCTCAGAAAGATGGCGTCTGAACTCTTCCCCCTCCCCGTGCGCTAAGCGCCCCTCACAAAGATGGCGCCTGCGCTTTGTCTTTCTTCCCCCGCCCTTCGCCGCCCGCCATTTTTCAGAATGCCCATCACAAAGATGGCGGCCGCTCCGTGCGTGGCGTAGTGTCGTGTGCGCGAGGGTGGGCGACGTCCGAGCTCGTCCCGGAAGCGGCGGGGCGCCGGCCGGGGTGGGGAAGGCGGCTGGAGCTGGGGGCGCCCGGACAGAGCCGTCCCCTCCTGGGCGTCTTATGAGGACCCGAAAGGTGAGGAGCCCAAGTCCGGCCCGCACCGCACCTGCTCTGGCCGGGCCAGTCACGCTCCCCTGGGGTGAGGGCTACACGGTCAAAGCCTCCCCCGAGCGCCCCACCATTCCCCACAGTGCGCCCTCCCTCCCACTGCCCCCTAACCAGTGCCCCCCCAGTGCGCTCTTTATCCCCACAG